GCGTCAAAGCTCAAGCTAAAGTTGACATCTAACCTGAAGGTACTATAATCTCAGTGACAGGAACGAACAGTTAAAATATTTATGTAATTAAAGCAAGATTCTGGTTCCGTGGCCTTGACTCTTACATTCTTACATGACAATTAAGGAATGTCATGCTCTTATTAAGTTCAAATGTTTCTTCATCCTCGAATACGAAAAGTTCAAAATGGCTTTATCCGAGTGAAGATGTCTCACATTCCCAAACAATATGCCTGACAACAAAGAGAGCAAACAGAAAAGGAAAAAAAAAAGCAAATCAAATCACTTTCGACCATTGTTGAATTCGATTTCCGCCTTTACGTTCTTTTTCTTGTGAGTATTAAATTCTCCCTGACTTAACTCAAAAATTTAAGAAAGGAATAAAACAAAGTTTACATTTGCTGTGCATGTAAGCTTTATACATCATCCAGATGTTTATAAATGCCAAAGCCCATGTAAATATCAAATGTGAAACAAATGAATTGCTTCAACGTTTATCTTTTTCGACCACACTGGATTCACTAACTATAACATATTAAAATGATTCGGAAACTAAGTAAATTCGAAATATATAGAAAGTATTTATTAAAATAAGAACACATATTTTCAAAAGAAAGATTTTGTCTTCAGTCAGACGGGCTCAAACCCTTAACATTGCGCTCAGTGTACCGAGGCTTATCCAAATTCTATACTCAATCGACTGATTGATGACAACACATCAATCAAATCAAAATAAAATCTTTAATTGTTAACTCCAATTAAGGGTCCTTTTATTCGTTTTAACTTATTATTATAGCTTTTGCTTTGGGAATAATAAACAATTAAATAAACAAATATACAAATTGACAATTTTTTTCATACAAACTTTGTCTGAACTTTTAAATTCACGTCTTAGAGCTCACTTCCGACACAAAAGGAAGCTTTAACATTTTGGTCTGTGACAAACACAGTTCTATATCTATATATATATATATATATATATAGATAGATAGTAAGCTGAAGACAAAGTTTTGCAACTTGACAAACATGTGTTGTTGCCTTAATTTTGAAACCACAAGCGATATACCATATAAAGGTGTTTTCAGGCAAGTAGAGCACAACAACTGGGAAACTAAGTGGTTTTTGTTAATATTCGAAATGCGGTAGCAACATCATCATCATTATTATCAGATGAGGGGATGGGACAAAGTTTGGCAAAGCCAAGCCACAAATATGATTCTGTCATTGATAATGAGACCAACAATGGGCCACAGTAGCATAGTGTACACTGTGCAGCTTAACGGATCGTAAGGGCGGACGGTCAGGATGGGGACTACGATTTTGGCAATGAACAAAACTTTACACTAGTTTGATTTTAATTACCAAAATTGCATTCAATGGCATAATATATTCCATTCACAGCATGATGACAATGACGATGACGATAAAGACAGGTGGCGTTGCTAGCCAGGTGTCTAACTGTTTGTTGTTGACAAAACTTGTTTATTAACACGATTGAGGCGCTGCGGCGTTCTGTCATATAAACTACTTACTACAAGCTGGCTTCAGTGCTAAAAGCTGGTATTACTCAAACACCTTCCTCTTACTTTCTCCGTCCACGCTCTTAGCTGTTCCATCTTTTTACCCTCGACATTTGCAGTGTTGTTCTCTAATCGATTTTTGATGAGATTTTTGTATTCAATTTTGGTTTTGATAGGCAACGAACGCATCAACTTTGTCTCCCTCGCTCTCTCTCTCTCTCGCCCCCTCTCTCTCCCTTACTATCTATCTATATTCCTGAATTTGACTGCTTGGCAAGTCGAAAAATATCTGGCGATAATAGCGACAACGAAGCGACCAGGACTTCGACGCCGTTGACATAATTTTGCACGGTTTTGTTTGGGCGATTGGCATGCCGTAGACAAATGTTTGGAGTATTCACATGGCTGACAGTCGTAAATGTGGAGGGGCCCCATTTCACTTCAACCCACCGTACCGAAGCATGATACATGGGAAAAACAGTTGGAATTTCGCTGGTATTTTTGTTTGTTTTCCATTTTCTGAGCAGTTTGATTCTCATACTTAGTTGTTGCTCGCTGTGAAAGTTCCTACAATTGGGCTAAGGCTATGCAGCAGTTACCTTTCGTCTTGTGTGGATATGTGTGTGTGTGTGTGTGTGTGTGTATGTGTGTATGTTTATGTGTGGCTGTCAGTGTGTGTGTGTACTAGCGGCTTTTGCGCTGCCTCAGCAGGCAACTTAACGGCTACGAGTATTGAGACAGTTAACCTAGTCAAAGCAAAGCCATCTAAAAACATAGTCAGACCACAATTTCGAAAGTTTATAGTTATATAAAGCTGTTTGTCCCGACTAACTGATTGACTGGCTGACTGACTGCAGAATTTTTCATTGCTGATTTGAAGAGCTCTACTAGCAAGTATGGAAAATTGGTGGAAAATTGGTTAGTTTACCATCCGATCGGTTCTTAACTCGACTGTAATGAAAATCCAGGTCCTTACCGGTGGAAAGAGGAGTTTAAGCAGTGGAATGAAAGTTCTTTAATATTCGCCTAATTGACTTGAAATTAATTCTAGTTGTAGCTTTAGCTTAATATAGAGCTGCTTTTTCAATTTTTAAACGATTTCGGAAAGTCTACTGTGCAAGTATTGGCAGATAACTGTTGATTGCAGCAAATGGCCCCGAGGATGCCGGGTAATACCCGCTAGTATTATTTTGTCTGTGATGGAAAACAAAGGAAAGCTGATGGTGGCAAACTAACGTTTGTAACGTTGATAGCTACTTCTGCGATTTGATGGGTTCGGATAAGCTCTGGTATTTAGCGAGCTGTATTTAAACCAAAGTTTTTATAGCCCGGCCACTGGCACCGTTCGTGCACAAAAAGAGTATTGTTGGGTGCTGTTGTCCCAGTTGCTGGCCATTTGGCTGACACTGGTGCATGCCACATAGGTCGCTTGCCAAGGGCACTTTGAATGCTTACAAAATCACAGGAGCTGCACAAGGCGCACCTGTCGCACCTGCTGCCCTGTGGCGCCCCCCAACCCATGGTGAAATTGGCAATTTCGCTTTCATTCAACGCTGACGAAATGCATTTCCTGAAATGAATGGCGACAGCCATTCGCCGGAAAGCCGGCGAAACGAAGGAAGTGCACAGTGCACGCCTGACACAGAAAACAACTGGACCGTGGCAGGTGGAGATGGTTCGTCTTCTGGTTTCAGGAATTCAAGAACCTGACTGTAGCGCAAAGCTGCTGCCACTTTCTGGCTCTGGCCCGTGTCCGGCTCTTATTGAGCAGCTGAAAAATGTCAAACGTTGATGCAAGGACGTCGGGAAGTGCAGCATGGTCAATGAGCCAGGCACCCAGCTGTAGCATGGTCCCTGCTCAGAACAACTAAAGTATGTCTGTTGTATCTGTAATATGTATATATATATATATATATATATATATATATATATATATATATATATGTGTGTGCATTTGTAAATGTATATGTATTGTTGGCTTAAGCAGCGGCAGGTGCAGCTGTCGCTTCCACTCAGGGCCAACATATGCTCGAGCTTTATATGGCCCAGTGCTAATGGTAAAGCTGCCAAGATGGAGCGAGACATATTCATGTGAGGGCGGGCAAGGGGCGGCGGGCGGCAGCTTATGGCATGACTTAATGGCATATGCATGTGGACAGACAGCAGTTACTGTTAACTGATGCTGCCCTGCGCTTATGATTAAGACATCCAGTTAATGCCCCTGAACTGAAGCTAGAGCTTGGAGCACTTTTAATTTTCGTCTGGATGTCAGCTGGCAACCGAGAGTTCCATTTGCCAGTAAAATGAAACACAAATATTTAAGTTGAGTTTTATGTTTCAATTTTCTTGCTGCCATGTTAGCTATATGTGTGTCTGGTAAATGTGTTCTTGAAACTATGCCACCTGCTAAATATTAGATATGGAAATGGAAACAGAGTTGTCATCTTTGGAAACCTTATACATTTACATATTTACTAGACTTTTATGGTGAGTAAGTGTGTTGGGCGGATTGTGTTCGGAACCGAAAATCTGTTTGAATAACATTTGGAGTACGGAATAGTTACAACGACACAGACAGTGTAACTCGATCAATTAGAATAACTGCCCAAATATTCGACACTTGCCCAATACTATTGATTTCTAGGGATGACATTTTGGCAAATATCTCATATCGATCAGAAGATCGACAGCATATTGTATTTTATCTTAACGCGCAGATCTGATTCCATTTGATAAACTTTTACATTTTCACTGTGATTTTGGCTTGACATAAAGAGAATTTCGAATGATCACAATATTCTAATATTGAATGCAAGAAGTTGCCCGAATTGAGCCTCGCGTTGTCCATTTATTTGCCAGGCAGCATTGTAACACTCTGAATGTCTTTTGGGTTCTATGGAATTAAATGCATTCTATATTTACCCCACATTGCAATCTAGTTTCCATTCGGTCTGTTCGACCCTCGTGACCAGTGTGACCCCGATATCTAGGCAAAAAGTTGCCGGACTGTCTCTTTTCCGCACCCAACCAGCTGCGTGCGTTGCTATCTGGTAGCAACATACGACTTAGTACAATACAAAGTCTAAGTCCAAATGCCCAACTCCATATCCCTGCCGCCGTCCCCACTAAGCTCATCTTTTCTATGCTTTCCACTTAAAACTTGGCAAAATTTTGCTGCACACAAATTGCAAATAGAAAATGCAAATTTGAATTGAAATCCAAATCCAAATTCCGTATCCGCATCCGCATTCAAATGGTCAAGAAATGCTCTTTATTTTTTTCTTCATTTCGATTTCTTTTTTGTATGCATTTGCCATTTGTGTTCTTGGCCCAACTGCTAGCTCTTCTTCTTTTTTGTTTGTAGGAGTGGGTGCGACTTTTCAACTTTTGCTTTAGTCGTATCCTTGGAATTCTCACTTAGCCGACTGCCAAACTTATTTTCATATTTGTTGGACTACTTACCAAAAGTATTTGAATTACAACATGAAACAAATCGATGGCGTAGACACCTGCAATAAGAGAAAAGAGGGAGGGGGAGAGAGAGGAAAGAAAAAAACTATTAGTTATTTTTTTTTTGACAGTCAGCTTGTGAAGTTCATTAGCTATGGGGTGCCCGACAACCAGCCCACCCTCCCTCCGAACATTTTGCTATTAATGATGCAACTGACAAAGTATGCAGCTCCACCTGAGCTGCTTACACTAATTAAGTACAGTTTAGGCAGCACCTGGCGTTTCCGAACAAAAAAAAAATACTGAGAAACAATTAATGACAGCGCCACGAGGTTTGACAAATGTAAATGGGAATGGTAACAGGATTTGGAAGGACCACGTCGAAGTCACAATCACGTAAAACATTAAGGCATTGCCCCACAGTGTACACAAAACACTTGATCCGCTTACGTAGTATGTCCTGTGCCCGAATAGTAAGGTAAGAGGTATATAGAGGAGGGACGCGTTCATGCAGGTGGCAAGAGGATATAGCTAATTCAACTTAGCTCGTCATCCTGATCACGAATATATGTGCACTTTATGGGGACGGAGATCTTTGGTTCGCCTGTTACATACGTTTCCACAATAACTTAATACTCTTTTAACCATTTTTATTGAGTTAAGGGTATAAAATAAACTTTCTAAAATGAAATGAAGAGTATGCATAACTGTTAAGTGGTTCAGCTTAATTCAAACTAAATTTACATATATCTTGGCTCTTTATAATTTTCTAGAGAGCACTGAATAAAAATGGAACAGCACATTTAAATATTTACATTGTGTCAAACCGAAAAAAAATACGTTTCACTTAGTCCTGCTCAAGCTGGCATCCCTGCACGTCGAACCTTCGACTGGGCGAATATTGTTTGAAGGGAAAGAGGCAAAGAAAACAATTAAAAGAATTTATTGCTTGAGTTTAATGAATTTTCAGCTTGTTTGCATGCACACTATGGGGTTGGTGGAGCTTGGGCGGTTAGGCAACTGGAGTGGGCGGGGGGTGTGGCAACAAGGGAGTGGAAAGACAGGTGCAGAGTTGCCAACGCAGCAATTTTGATGAGCGAATGAGAAACGAAGCGCCACAGGTGTAAAGCGAATATAAATCTTCGGGCTTAGATGTGTGTATAGATGCCGGCGAGTATGTGTGTGTGTGTGTGTTTGTGTGTGTGTGTGTGCGTGTGATGAGAGTGAAAATAACTGTTATTGTTACATTGTTTAATGAAGTTTTTCCCTCTTTTTCCATTTAATTTTTTTTATTTTAATTTGAACGCAGCTGTTTGCCTTAAATTCATGCTCCGAACCTGACGATGAATTGCCCAAATATGCAAAACATTTCAAAAACCATTTAAGTGTTTTATGAAACGCTTTTGTTTTCCCAAACCCACCAGCACACTCCCGCGAGAATTCGTTTCCATTTCGGCCAATAAATGTGCTGGATGGCTTAAACCTAAATAAACCCAAACGGTGATAAGTCCAGGGTATCAGGCCAAAGAGATTGGGTTGAGGGCACGGTATGTGTCTCTTGGACTTAATACTAATAGCGAAATGATAAGCAACCAAATATTGTTCACGTTGTGTATTATTTGTTGTTGTATTATTTTCTTTTTGTCAGAAGAATTTTGTGACCCTTAAATTTGTGGCTCGAATTTAACTGCTGATATTTTTATTGAATCTGGCTTTTGAGTCAGAAGTGAGCACTAAGAAGGGGTTATGGAAAGACGAATTCTGGTTAAAGTTTGTAAATATAAGTAATATAAGTAGGCTTCAAATGTCACGACATAAGCCCGTGTTGTTTAGTTGTCTAATCGCCGGACTAACAAGAGGAAGGTCACCGGTTCAAATCTGGCAGAAATTTGTAATATTCATATTCGCTCATTTTATTCAATGACATCAAATGTATAACAAATTTAAGCACCTTTCTCTGAAGTTGGCGGCATCCACAAACAATTTCCGTACTAATTTCTAATTTTTTTTCGTATATACACACACCATATTTCAAAGGTCAGATATATTTGTTGACTGATAATGCCTCTTGTTTCTTCTTTTTTTTAATGGTTCCACGGCACAAGCTGATAGCTGTTGTGGGTGTTCAAGGGTTTATTTGGCCTCTCAGGACCATAATTCGATTTGGGGGGCGATGTTGTGTTATGTTGAAGCTGCCGTCTTATGCTGGCCGACTGATAAACACGTTTTGCCTGGGTCTCCATGCATACATTAAGGCGTCGATGCCTGAACAAACTTCGATAGCCCGGCAAAGGCAAGCAAACAAGTCGAGCCGGGGCAAAGTCATGTGCACCACCACCAGTTGGCACCAGATGGTGGCGGCCAGCGTGTTTGCAGCGATTACTCCGAGCTGTCAGCAAGTACCAATTGCTGTGGTAGCCCGTGCGCTCACGGCTCAGCGATTTCGGGACTCGCAAATCGAAAGCAGGATGCCAATTTTTCTAGTTTTACAAATTTGTTCAAATGAATATTTAATAGTGGCGAGGGTATGGGGGCGGCTGCTTGGTGGGATGGGTGAGGCGGGTGAGGCTCTAGCCCTGCACTTGGCTGGTCATCAATTGCAAAATTCTTGCTGGCCAATGGTCGCAGTGCTGGCAGTGCCAAAGATTTGCCAAGATTTACGAGCCAAAAGCCAAAGCCATTGGCAAAACCTTGGCAAATTTGGCAAATTGACTTTTGCCGCTGGCCAAGGCGACATATTTTGGCCAGCTGAGCCAGCAATTGCCATGCAACACTTTGTGGCAGCAACATCAGCAGCAGCAGCAGCAGCAGCAGCAGCAGCAGCGACTTACAGCTGCAGCAGCTTATCCGGTCCATAAATTAACAACTTGATTATGTCGAACCAAGCGCAACAGCAGCAGTTGATCATAATGATGATGATGCTGATGATGATAGCCAGGAGTGGAGTGCGCTTAAGAACGCATTCCGCTTGGGGCGTCCTTTGTGGCTGGCAAATTGGGATTGCTGCTGCCAGGACATAACTAAATTAAAATATTGCGCACAAGGACAATGCGTACTCTACCCAAAGCAGCTGCCAGGGCTCAGCTGGTTAATGCGCAAGGAAGCAGAGCCAGATCCACAGTCTCGGATCGTGGTCGGGCTGAGGCGAGGACTCGGGCTCGGGCTTGGGCTTGGTTTCGGGTTGGGCTTTGTGGTTGCCAGTTATCAACAGTTATCATAGCAATGGTGCAAAATGAAAATGAAAAATGACACAAAGAATTTATCAAACATCCGCTTCCGGCAAACAAGCGACCAGGCATCAGACATCAGCCAACAGGCAACAGGCAACGGATAAGGAATAAACTAAAGCTTCATGTCGCATCCAATTTGCCGGAAAGTCGGCAACTAGCAGAGACTCAACCCTAGCGCAGGCAGAAACAAAGCCTAACAAGAGCAAGGAAAAAACAAAATTAAAATAAATTGTGTATAATATTAAAGCACAGTCGAATGCAAAGGGCTCTGGATTTGCGTATAAGTCTGTGTGCTGTGCAAATGTGAGAGATAAGCTCAGCGGACTTGGAACAGACCCATTGACACGACAGACGGCAAATCCTTTGGCAGAGCAATAAACGATTCCCACATTGGAACTGAATACTTGGAATTGGGTCCTGGCAGCTTGGTTATGTGTTAACCTAAAGCTTAATATAAATGAACTTCAATCAAATAACTTCAAGAAATTAAAAGAAAACGTTGTTGATCAAAAAATAAAAAAATTACCGTGAATAAACAGGTGTTCGTCTGTGAAAAGGATAATATGGTATTTGCATTTGGCCGGTACCCAGATTTTAAATCTGACTTTCAAAGAGTTTCGAATATAAGCTTCACTTACACTTTTGCGCTGAATAAGCTTCCCACTTACTTTGGCTGGAATCAGGAATTGTGGGACACATGCACTTGATACAGGGAAATCAATTGCACTGCAACTCGAACTGCTGGCAGTGCAAACCTGGTTTCTCCATAATTAAATCAATTGAATGTTAAGAAATATGTTTTACTGCAATTTCAATGCATGTCACATGATTGCAGCAAAAAGACAATGGAAAAAAACAACAAAATGGGGGACAACTGGCTGGAGGAGCCAGAGTGAGACGCATGCGGCATATGTATGACGGGCAGACGGACTGGCAGCAGCCACGAGCTCAAGTCAACTGGAATTGCACAAACCGATAAAAGTAGTTGTTTTTGTTGTTCTTGTTGCTGTAGAGCAAGTGAGAATGCACCATTAGTGCAGGAAGCCAACAAGCAACAACGCGACACTGGGATAACCAACTGCAAAATGGGAATAGCAATCAGCCTGGGGATAGCCCAAGCAGCCAGGAGCTGAAGCGGGTGAGAAATGGGAGGAGCGAGGCTAGTGAGGAAGTCAACCACAAGAGTCAGACGCATACATGTATAGAGAATTACAGCAAGCAGCATTTTGCAAGCTGCAAGCGGCAGCTCAGCCGACAGCTAAGCCGCAACGCAACGCAAGCGTAACCATGTGGCAAATGAGGCTAAAACACAAGTGTCGCCATCATCGCCATCGTCGAGTGGCAGTGATGGATAAACCCAAGCAGACTGCCAGCCAGTCAGCCAGTCAGCCAGTCAGCCGGCAAGCCAGAGGAGTGCCCCATCATATAAATGTCCAATGCAATTGATATTAACGCTTAGAAAAGTCCTCGACTTAACCCACAGTGCATTTGATTCAGGATCGATAGAGTTCATGCGGTTTTCGTTGGGTTGATTGAATATACCGATATTAATATACATATTTATTTAACATAGTTTAAGAAAAGAGAGTATTAGATAAGAGATGAGAGAGTTACGTATGAGAGTAGTGCATTTATCAGACAGAAGGAAGCATCTCTGACCCTATAAAGTATATACTATACATTCTCGGTCAGCAGCAATACGCAGTTGATCTGGAACATGCCGATCTTTGAACCCATCAGCGCTAAAGACTTGAAATATTCAAGTGGCTGCGCAGATGAGATTGTTTCCAGTTATCGTTAACTTGGCCCGATTCCAAGCATACAATAGG